CTAAAACAGAGAAAAGCTGTTCTCAATGTACAGTTGTGTTTCCATGGAGGAAAAACATGGGTATAGACAGATTTTGCCATACAACAATAATTAATTGGGCTTACACATTGTATAAAACTAAAATGTAATTTTTTAGGTTTTGGCTTAGTATGCTTTGTGAATCTAGGCATTATGGTGGTTAGACATGAGTTATGGCTTAACAGTGCAAAATAATTAATTGGGCTTACACATTGTATAAAACTAAAATGTAATTTTTTAGGTTTGGGCTTAGTATGCTTTGTGAATCTAGGCATTATGGTGGTTAGACATGAGTTATGGCTTAACAGTGCAAACCCAACTAACTGTAGTTTATTCAGGATACCACAGTTAAGCAAACCATGACTTAGTGTACACAGCCATACTCTTTAAAAAAATTGGTACATTGACTTTGAGATGGACCATCTTAGTTTTTCCAAGACTACTTTAGCTCACTCCCTCAGTAATCAGATGCCAGAGGTGCCAGCAACAGTCAGAAGAGTCACCACTCTTATGCCCAGCTGCTCAGAGTGTATTTCTGGTAGAAACTAGATATACCAGTTGCAGTTATGCAGGATGGAGCAGGCAGAAAGTTCATAAGCCATAAAGGTACTCACCAAATCTAAAAGGTTAGAAGATAAGGAGAGCATAATCCATTTGAGAAGTTCCAAGAATAATTGAAACATGTTATTCAGAGGCGTATGTTCTTCACCTGGAAATGATTACTCTTAGATGAACAGAATCATCTAAAATCCTCTGTTGTGAACATATACTTATTGTATATAGATTTTATACTGGGCATTCTTCCAGTAAGCCAGACTTCTGAGGATGAAATGAGTTATCAGAGCAGAGCAAATACAATTAAGGAGAGTTTTGAAAACAAGATGTTGGAAACCAGGCTTTCTAAACACTGAATTTGCTTTGATTTCTCTGGAAGACAAGTTCAAAAGTCTGAATGTCTTGAATTACTTAACCAATATTTCTAAACTTTCTCTTGTCTGGCTGATAAATTTTTACTTTTGTTCCCTTAAGTCATCCTAACTTTAGTAGTAAGACTAATAATATGCCACTGATGCCACTGCACACAAAAGGAATGGCAGCCAAACAATAGAGAACATGGTCTTCCTAATCATATAATCAATATCATAAATTAGTCCAGAAACATATATTTGTGCTACGTCATATGCTTTGTATTGTACTGCTACACTTGCCAATAGTAAATGGCAATAGCACTTTGAGTTTGTCTAATTTTGGGCAACCAGCCATTTTAACTGTTTATTGTGGCAGAGTCCTCCAAGACTTCTAGTAAAATATTGGAACCACAATTTGTTTCAGTGTCTCAGCAATTGGGAGAACATATTTTAATGGAAAGACAAGTCAGCCAATTGTTAATAATCTTCTTCCCTTCCATGAAATGTATAGTATTAAGACATTGTTTTGATAAAAGGTTACAGTACAGGTAGTCCCCAGTTTAAGAATGAGTTCCATTTCCAAGGTCTGTCCTTAAGTCAAATTTGAACCAAAACTTGTTTGAGATGGACACTATTGAACTCTGAGAATCATGTGCCCATTTCTGCCACAGTGGATCAGTCAGCCAATTGTTAATAATCTTCTTCCCTTCCATGAAATGTATAGTATTAAGACATTGTTTTGATAAAAGGTTACAGTACAGGTAGTCCCCAGTTTAAGAATGAGTTCCATTTCCAAGGTCTGTCCTTAAGTCAAATTTCTATGTAAATATTACACAGCATTATTGTGTAATATTGTATAAGTAGTTACTGTGTAATTAACTCAAACCATTGTGTATTTAACTCGGATTTTGCTACAATAGGCTCCATTCTTAACTCTGGGTTGTCCTTAAACTGGGCGTTCTTAACCCAGGGACTACCTGTATAATGCAGGAAATTTTAGGCTAATTCTGGAGTTTGAACTGCAGAAAATTTAATCACAGATTTCTTTTCAGGATGAATAATGGGATCCATCAAACTGGGATCCACTGTGGCAGAAATGGGCACATGATTCTCAGAGTTCAATAGTGTCCATCTCAAACAAGTTTTGGTTCAAAAATTGTATGCAAAAATGCCAACATTTCAAAAAGTTGCATACAACAATGCATACCATAGGGGTAAAAAATGTGCTCACTGTACTAACAAATATTTTGATCAGGTTGAACATGAAGGTAAATGAGGATTTTCTTGTTTGGTTAAAAAAAATTGTGGAATGGGTAGAATTTTGATGAAACAGATTAATGATAGAATATGTGTGATATTAACTGATCTGTACACTCATATTCAGGACAGAGAAAATTGTGGTTAATTTCAGAGCCAGCAGAGGCATTTGATAATCCATCAGTAATGTCTTCAGTCCTGAAATACTCTAACTCCACATTAGCTCCAACTTATTGTGCTAAATAACACACAAATCTCATTAAGAATTCATTTCCTGCAGATGTATCTCCATCCTGGCCTCAAATGGACCAAAATGTTTAAGATTTTCACATAAACCATATGAGGAATTGTTACTTCTACATTGTTTGATCTCCATCTGACAAGGTTGCAGTAGGAAATCATCTGGAAATTTGGATCATGGGAACTTACCTTATGATTTGCTAAATCTGTATTTTTCTTAACAATAGGCAGTCCCACTGAGAGTTGAAAACTGAATCTCAATAGCTGTCATGTTATGCAAAAAATATATTGACCTTTGCAAGTCTGAATTTCAGGTTTAACCATCATACCAAATTCTTCATGAGTTGGCATTTGCACTAGTTCCCCCCATTAGGAAAATGTTCCAATGCTATCTCTGTATTTGAGACAGGATGGCTTTAAACCTCTCCTATCTTCTTGTCCACAAGAAAAGGTGTGGGAAGGCATGCAATCCAGGTCAGATTTTATTTCTATTTATAATGCAACATATACAGCACATATTAGTTTATGTACTGCATAAATATCAATTTATGCAATATATGCTTTATGAGGTAGAGGGATTACTGATATCCATCTTATTTTATCCACTGTGCACTGATATATATAATCCACATTGAGGTAGTTGCAGGCATTAGAATATTCTAGTGGAGATTTCCAACAACACAGGAGAGGCACATACTATGTTTGAAGGGTTTATTACTTACATTAGGTGGTGAAGATGACTTGGATAATAAGAGTTGTCAAAGACTGTCAATGTGCAGAGAGGTTAATAGTTGTGGGAAAAACAAGGAGGAAGATGGTTTTTAGGAAATCCAGGAACATAGCTCCAGGAAAAGAAGTTGAATGGATGCCCATACTAATCTCTTTAGCATTTTATTTAGATGATAGTCAGACAGACAGACAGTTTTATTGACCTATATTGCCTATCTCACACAGTGATCCTAGGTGGCTCACAGCAACCAATAAAAGCAACTGTATGAAGCTGAGAAACTTAAATCTGTCAAGGCTGTGGCCGTATTTCCTCTTTATCATGACCCCAGATCTTTTTTCTCTGTTGCAATTACCATTAGCTTTTGTATGCAAACCTGTTAATCAGAACAAAAGGCAATTTTATATGAAAAGTGGCGCACTCTCATTACTATATGCTCCCTAGAGATTGAACCTCATTAGTATGAGAAATGTGGTCTATGACAAGAGCGCAGGAATTGGAGAAGGAAGTTGGGGGAAAATGCTGCATTCTCCCTTAGCAAAATAGTTACTGACTCAAAGGAACAGCTGGTTTTTATGTGGTAATCATAACTATGGCAAATCCTTAAAAGACTTTGATGGAGCAGTGCAAATGTCTCCTATACTTATAGTACAGCATCCTTCAATATGGATTTTCTACTTCACCATGCCTTTTTCTTTCGGTACTGAACTGCATATGTGACTTGATTCAAGAAAGCACCTGAGTCCAATCTACACATACTTAAAAGTGCAAATTTTGCCATCATCATTTTACCTGTTTTTATTTATTTATGCACACACATACTTACTGCAGTCTGATTGGTGCTGGGTCATGGATGCACAGGGGGCAAAATTGTGGGATCACTTCATTCTTGTATTTGCATCTAAAATAGGGCCTATTTGCTACATCAAGCTCCAGATTATGAATAAGAAATTCACCTTGTCAACTCTTCTCTGCTCCGTCCCTTCCTATGAACCTGGAGAGTTGGAACACATATACTAGCATGATCGCCATGGCAACTGGCTGTGATGTCACGCAAATAAAGGATTAGCACCAATTTTCACTGCAGGACTGTTCACAAGGAGCTGCTGGGTGAACAGGAAATGCAAAAAGGAAGAAAAATAGCTTGGATGTTGGTAATGCTGGAAAAGAGATTATTGATATTGTATAATACTTTTAAGCAAAGGTTCTTTCCCTATCACCTCTTGCTTTTATACCCTTTTATGTCAACTGTTTCCAAAGTTTTCTATCCTTTGTTATTCTTTCTATTCCTCCTTTACTCCTCAGACAGCACTGTCCATAAAATTAGCTGATGGTTCCCACAAAATCACCTCACGATTTGCTTGCAGCCATTGGCTGACTTACCACCTACCTTGGATGTATTAATTTCTTACTATATCCAGGTTGGAGATCTGTTGGTGGAAAGATGGCTACTATGACTTTTAAGATTATAGCAATTTTGAAAGGAAGCCACTTTTTCTGTGGAGAAAATGGTATCCACCAGGCAGCACCATCCTTTTGCAAAAGCATCAGTCCCTACAACAGATGCCTCCACACAACTGTGGTTGGTGTAAACTAAACAATTCATGGAATATTCTTATTTCTGATTTGATCAACATCTGTATTCATATTCTCCTCTTCCTCCTCCTCCTCTACTTGGAAAGGCTTGAATACACATACAAGGCATTCTTTTCCTTCCATTCTTAAAAGTTATGTTTATAATTGGTTAAAGAAAGGGAGGTTTAAGGCCCTAGAAACATGATAAAAGAACATCTGTAAAGTATTTTAAAAAATCAAGTAATGATGGGTAGAGTTTTTGAAAACTTCAAAAGAATGTTGAAACCAAGACAAAAACAGTCCTTTTATTCTAAATTTCTGTATTTACAGAAAGCGCCATTTTACACAGGGCTGTGAGTATCTGTGTAAAAGAGCCATTTTTGTCAGATGTCACTGTGCTTACATTAGTAACAAATTTTTAACACTTGAGTATATTAACAAACAAACAAAATTAACCAACAGGCATAGAAGACACAGCTGGAATATACTGAATATTCACATATTCTTGAAACAACAAAAGTAAAGTATTCTTTGTAGCAAAAGTAACATGGACCAGGTTTCTTCCTTTTTTTAAAGGCAAATTACCAATCACATACAATAATACATGGTTTTTCTTTTTTGTTCATTTAAATATGATATGCTGAGTTTTAAATCTCAAGCCTTTTTCACCTCAGGATTTACAGGCACTTATAACACAATACATGAATGATCAGACCCTCAAACACAAAACTAGCTGTTGCAAAGGAAAATTTTGTATACCCAAAATGCACATTAAAAATATATCTCTCATAGCTCTTTGTTTCAAATGTTTTTGAACACCAATGTGTTTTCATGATGATGCATACCAATTTTCTCCCATTTATCTCTCATTTTATATTTTATTGATCGATTTCAAATGTTGTTCCAAGATGCAAAATGCAGTAACATGGAAGCACAGCACAAATTGTCCACAAATTTTTACAAACTGTCAAAAAGACAGGTTTAAAAAAGCTAGTTTTAATTCAAAAAATAGATTTTCATTTTATTTTGTCCTGCATTTCTTCCTTCCAACAAAATAATGACAAATTAAATTATCAGAAAATATGGAATAACTGAGCAATTGTTCATCTATAATTCATGGGGGGGCTCAATTTGTACATAATGAGGAACATTTGATAAAAAACATACTTGCTAAAGCAATCTGGAGAATTCTTTTTCTCCCCACCATTCTACACACAAACAATACACTTCCCCCACCATTAGCTGATGTTAATTATAAATACAATGTTCTCATGATAATAAAAGGTATATATTGTTAAGGTATGAGAGAAATGCAACAAGATATCTGGGATAAATGAATGAGGATAAAGCTTTGTATAGAACTCAAGAATGACCATATGCAGCCACAGAAAAACAGTATTTTAGCAGACATTTAAATAATTATCAGAAATAAAGCAACAAGGACTAGAGACCTGTAGATTTCTGGCTCACTGCTTATAACTGATAGGTACCTGCTTCCCTCAGCCTAAGGGAAACAATAAAAGATATGGCAATGGGATTTTAAATTAGAAAACAATCAATGCTATATGCTAGAACAGTCTCTCCTTGAAGAGTTGAACAACACTTAACAGTGTAACCTGGTGAGCAGTCATTGATAACAAAGACTGGCTAGGACACTTGATAGCTAAGACTCATCGCTTGCCTAAATATGATTGTCAAATGATGGATAATCCTTTTGTGGATATAACACTTGAGACGTAATGGCAAAAATGTAAGGCCTTCCAATTCTTTGTCCATCTTGCTAAAGGCACTGAAACAGACAAGAATTCCAGAGTCCCTCCATTTGAAACATGAAGTTCCTTTTCTTTTTCTTCTTTCCATAATGCAGGTCTCTCCGTATGAAAAAGTTCTTTTATTGCATGGGCCGCTGACCTTTTTCTTCAACTAAAGAATAAAATGGTTTTCCCTTTTCTGGTGTTTGTAATCTGTTTAGCCTAGCAACCTGAGATGGTGAAGGTGGTACATCTTGCCTGAAAGGACCTTTGGGAGTGGCATAATTAGGGTCCTGAACTTTCTTATAAGAGTCATAGTTGCTGGGTCCTTCGGAAGATGCCTTTTTTTTCAGCTGTTGCTCTTTCCGCCTCTGTTCCTGACGGAGGAGCTCTTGTGTTTCAAGCAAGACTCGAGCATTGAAGCCATGGCTCCCCAGGTAGCCGTTCCTAGAGCCTTGGTAACTGGAGTACCGAGGGTTGTCTTTGGCACTTTGGAAACCTTCACCAGGAGGATAGTTCTGTTCCCAAGAATCTTGAGATACAGAGCTTGCATTTTTCCGACTTTGTCTACAAATAAAAAAAAAATTGTGTAAAAATGGTTATTTGTATTTAAAACGTGTATTATACCCTAAAAAAATTCCTTTTTAGCTTAAGTTTTACACCTTCAGTCTTGAATGAGGCCTTGAAGTCAGCTCATAAATGATCCTATATGATCTCAAACAATACCAGTAATAACATAAATGAACCATAAATAAATGTTTAGTTCCAATGGCTAAGTGGAGACAACATGGGAGAGTATCACCTTGTTTGACTGGTGGATCTCAGGAGTATCTATTTGCTACTGTGGAAATATTCTAGTTTTAATGTTTAGCCCTGCAGGACCCCTTCTATGGTTCTCCAACAAGAGGCTCTTACTTTGCTTTCTACAATCCAAACTACAAAGTGAACCTTCCTCTGGAATGAGCTCCACTTTTTAAGCACTATTGCCAAGAAGGCCATCCAAAATTGAGTTCAGTGTAGTGGAACAAGAAGATTGTACCAAAGCAGTATGACATAAAATGATGATCAGTAGGGGAGCAGTTCGTTTTCTCTGTTTACAAAAATAATGCCAAGCATTTAACTATTTATACCCTGTATATTTCTTGACTCTGACCACATACTAATACTTGCTAATACTTGAGATTGTTAAGACTTAAACATATGAGACTTGCTTTTGGACTGTAACCTTATCATTTACACAGGATATGATTGTGGATTAGTTAGAGGTATTATAGAGGTATACCTAACATATTTAATGATGGCTCTTCTATACAATTCAGGTGCTTTGGACATAACTGACAAAAAGCAGGATATAAAATATAAATTGCCTATGCTTTTTTCCCAAATATGTATTTCTTTCCTTTATTAAATTTATATACCGTTTCATACTGTGTGGATACCTATCTACTTGAACCTTTCCTTTCCTTTCTTTTCTATTTATCACAGTATCCATATCTAGAAGGATCTAAAAGTCTGGCTGTGCATAGGAAACATAAAAATATTACCTTGCAGAGTTAATCACCATAACACCTAGTGATGGCTACTAACTTGGATGCTTTAAAGTGGGATTGGATAAATTTATGGCAGACAGGATTATCAAAGTCCTGAAGATAGTATTAGAGCTGAGGTCAACATGCCTTCAAATATCAGTTGCAGGGGAACAGCAGCAAGGAGAGGAGATTGCTGTCCCAGCATCTGGTGAGCCAGCATAAGAAGCGAAGTGCTGGACTAAAATGGGCTTTGTCATGATGCAGCAGGCTTATTCATATGCTCTTATATTCCATGTTTCGTATAAATAGCCAGACTTTTGGATTGTGGTTTCATACTTACTAATCAGTGTCCATATGTTGATATAATCACATACACTCTGTGAAACATTTTCCCACTTGCTAGACAAATCTGGAAAATCTAAACTGGAATATGCTCTCCCATCCATATGACAATCATTGGATGAAATGAGTGCATTTTAGAAGAACACTGACATAATACTATCATGTTAGACTCTTGTGTAATGATGACTTTTATTCTCTCTTCTGCCACCTAATGTGTCTGCCTGATTTGGCTTGTTTAAAACAACTAGCTATTCTTCAGTGTAAAGGTGTTCTTTGAGGCACTACACCATATTCACTAGATTGACAACCAGTACCTTAAGAATAATTAGAACCTTCAAACACATTAAAATAGCCCACAAACTGGGACATTAGTATGCATAGGATCAATGACCCTGACAGCCAAAGGCCTGCCTTTTTTCTTGGCCTGCAAATTCAACCTACTGTTGATAAAAATGGTTTAGAATATATTCACTATCTGAAGCATTAACCAAATGAGTGACCGCAACCAAAAACACTATTTATGTATACCATATCACCTTTACTGTGGTGATGTCTTACTATAGTCGAAAGACTCTATGTTTTGCAAGAGTGAGGCCATTTATGGCATCCAAGAAAGTGACAGGGGAGAAATTCATTTAATTTGCATTTTAATAAGTACTTAACCCAATTTGTGTGCCCTGAACCCATTAAGTAATGCAACTCAAAAATACATTCAAAATCGTGTATATGAAAGAAAAGTACATGCAACAATAACTAGACTAAGAGAATGTGCATCCAGAAGCATATTACATTCTGCCAAACTGCTTGCAAAAAGGTGGAGATTATGAAAAGAAGCTACAAAATGTATATATTAGAAGCATGTGCACAAAAATGCATGCGCATTTTTATGTGAACTGTTTAAGCATTTGCAAACTGAATCAGCAATGGAGAGAACACGTTTAAAAAAATTGCAGCTAAATAGTAGGAACAATATAGCGCATGAAACAATCCCAAAGCAGAAGTGTCCTCAGCGTAGGGTAAAAAAAAAGTCAAAATGGTGGCCACAAATGACGGCATTCACACATAAAAACAGGCAGAGCTTCAATCACTTTGTTGTGGTGGCCATCTTGACTTTGGACCATACCTTGTGGACACCTCTGCCCAGAAGCAAAAGTGAGTATTTCAACACTCTATTATCATTTATCTCAATGCTCTCTGAAATAACAGCCTAACAGTTCATGTAGATGTTCCATGAACAGAACAGTGAGATTTATCTTCTGAGACCATTAGGTGGTCATCCCTGAATCCCAGAGGCCAAGCACCTTTGCAAAGGCATTTTTTCCTGGGTTCCCAAATCCACCAGACTCGGGTGCTCAAGAGAGCTGCATTTTCCAGTGCTGTTTCTACCTAGATAATGCTCTTGCAACTTTTTTTTCTTAAAATGAGAGGGAGAAATGAAAGGTGGGCAAGAAAGAGAGATTTTGTTGCCAAATGCTCTGATATCAGGTAAGTTTGAGTCCTTTGATAATGTGAAGGAGTATTGTAGGTAATGTATGAGGTTTTCTTTCCATGCAAAATACTTCAAGTGATCTATTATCATTGTGGTGGCCTTGTCTTTCTATCCATGTAAGTTAATGTAATAACGTATTTGCACCTGCATATAACACAATGAGATTGTGAAGTGCTTGTCTTTTATATCTAATGTGAATTTCATTCTTACATTTTTAGTCTTTTTGTTTAGGTTTAGATAAGCCTTGTAGAATAGCTGTGCTTCCGAATCTCTTTGTGAAATGACTTACAGTAAACTGAATGAGTCCTTTGAGTATATAATGCTGCCAAAGATTCTAAGATATATTTAAAAAATAGTTTCTCAATAACATCTTATAGCTTGGAGTTGAATGTGACTTTAAGCAGTTTTGGACTTAAAATGACAAACATTAATTGGGTAAACTTCAGACATCTTTTTCTTGTTTAAAAGGAGTTCAACATTGGCTAGTCTATTTATAGCAATTTTATCAGTGGATACAAGGATAACTTATGAATTATGGATACTAATTATATTTATAACTGCCTGAATGTAGGTTATCTGCAAAGCAAGAAAACAAAGTGAAGTACTTAAGAATTTGTTTGTGTATAGATGGTTTGTAACACAGACCTGAAATAAATGGTTTCCCCTGAACTGAACATATCTTCCAAATCTCTACAAAGGTTATTTGGTAATGCCTTGAAATTGATAGATGAAACAAAGCACTGTGTTTTATAGGTTAAAACACACATCACACATACCTATTTTCAGGAACTCTGAAAATGTGGTTTGTTTTTCAGACCCTTCACCACCTTAGTAGCCATCCTCTGAATTTGCTTCAATGTGTCACTGTCCACAAAATTGGACAAAACACTCCAGTTGGGGTCTTACCAGGACAGAATAGAATGAAACAAACACTTCCTGTAATCTGGACTCTATCCATGCACCCTGGGATATTACTTGCCTTTTTAGCAACTGCATTGTGCTGTTGGCTCATGTTGAACTTGTGATTGACAAGGACACCCAGATTCCTTTATGTATACTGTTGCTAAGCCAGGTCTCACCCATCCTATACTTGTGCCTCACAATGTTGACCTACCCAGGTGCAGAACTTTACATCCCTCCATGTTAAATTCCACCCTGTTCATTCTAGCCTTCTGCTCAAGCCTTCTCTCTTTCATCTAAACTCTCAGTTGGGGTCAACTGCTAACCCGGTAAGTCCCCTCATCCAAGTAATTAACAAAAATGCTGAACAGTAAAAAGCCCAGACAAAGCCCCATGGCACTCCACTTCCCTCCAAACTAGAGCCATTCATGAGCATTCTGCATGCAGTCCTTCGGTCCTATAAAAGAGAGGTAGGGATCCAGCGGCCTTGCAAATCTTGTTGAACTGACGTTCCCATCCCTCACAATCAGTACAAAGTCAAGTAACAAAGGGAACTGCAGTCAAGTATTCATCTGCAGGGCTACTATTGCTGTATCTAACTAGGGAAAAGTTAGTAAATGGCTTGAAAGATAGCTTAAGCAGATGTAAATGCCCATTCAGGCTTTCTGAATATCTCACTCTTCTGAATCATTTTTCCAAGCGAACATTTGATTGAGCGGAAAAAAAATCACAAAGAGTGGTCAGATTCTACCCTGTGGACACATCTCTTCTGATTCTTATAAAGGCAATCTTCATCATACCACGTTTAAATGAAAAGCTTTCCCACATATAATTCTCTTTTTCTAAGGAACTACAATTCATGTGTAACTCAATTCTCCATTCTACTTACAAACTGTCAGGGGTATCCAGAGGGTATGGCCAAAAAAGTCAGGATGGCAACCGTGATGGTACATCAAAGTTTCACCTGTTTTTTATGGCATCATGGTGGTCACCATCTTGACTTTTTTTTACTATAGCCTGTTGACACCCCCCCACCCCAAATTGCATTGTTTTTGAAGGCTGACTCTTAAACATGACTCAACCCATCTAAATTCTTGGCTAGTTCAAATAGTTCACCAAATATGTTTAAGGCTTTAAGTTTAGCCCCAAGATACAGTAGTCACAAGCAAAATCCCTTTCCTTTGGAATTAATCTCTGTTCTGAACTGTGAACTACATGTTTTGTTTTGGGTTTTTTGGTTTGTTTTTTGGTGCCTTTGAGTCAAACTGGACTCCTGGAGACTGCCTGGATAAATCCCTGCAGTTTTCTTGGCATGATTTTTGGAAGTGGTTTGCCACTGCCTTCTTCCTAGGTATGAGAGGGAATGAATGGCCCAAAGTCACCCCAGCTGGCAGAACTCATAGTGTCTCGGTTTCTAGCCTGGTGCCTTAACCACTACACCAAACTGGCTCTTTGAACTATATATAAATCTTCAATTTCAATTAAAACTTATCTACAGACAACACTTAAATATTGCAACCAATGACACATGTTGGGTATAACAAGAGTCCCCCATTGGGGGGAGATGGGCGGGGGACAAATTTAATAAATTAATTAAAATAAAATAACTTTCCATGGTAATCTCTGTATTTGTTCAGTTCTCTCTTTCATGACATACATCTATGCCATCATCCGAAATTATATCAGCAACACAAGAAAGTGGTTATTACCACTACTGGTATTACCAAGTGAATACTTTCTTTCTCTTAATTACTTGAAATTATACAAGGCCGAATAAGTTTGGAGTTTCAGAACTTTCTGTGAGTGATAGCCTTTTCTATGAGCTATAGCTTTTTCCTCAACCAAGTACCCTCAGATGTGTTATACTACAACTTTCTTTTACCTCACAGACCAAGTCATGCTAATTTCACACAATGGGAATTGTAGTTCAGTAGGATACCAGGCTGGGTGGAACGAAGCTGCAAGAAAATAAGCTTTGTCTCCTGATATATTTTCAGCAAATTTTGCAAGATTGGTTCAGAAATACTGCATGCAATGAGTTTAATCTCAATTGCATATTGTATATCTGAGTGGCCTGAATCCCTTATTATAAAACCAACCTTAATTTGTTTCAGAGGTTCACCTGCAATAAAATTAATGGGCAGGGAGGTTTTATAAAATGAGGTGAATGTGCATAGAAGTGTATAGAGTGGCTTCAAGTTCTTCTCCTGAGATATATGTATGTTCATTAGAATATCTGTAGAAGGGCCCTGTAGAAGGTAAAAGAGGTTGGCTGAAAAGAAATCAAGGTATCATTTCCAAAAATTGATTTCCCACAATCTACTTCCCAGTCTTTAAAACCATTTTTAACACACTTATTCAAAATAGAATAGATACAGGAGCCAAATATCTATCTAAAGTCTAATGTAGGGATAGGCTATGTGATGTCCACCCATACCAATATGGCCATAGTTCCTCCTCTTGGCCACCAACCAGGTTTCCTGTCTCATTTGAAGTAATTTTTAAAAATTCCTTTGGTTTAAAAAAGATAAATATGAATCCGTCATGCTGCAAAGTAAATTATCCATCCTTGCATCATCTCAAGACCCCTGAGGATTTTTACAAAATACTAATGATAACTGCAACCTAATGTTTTGTTTCTTTGTTCCTACTGAGGGAAAAGACAAAGGTAAGCTGGAGCAGAGAGCATTCTGGTGAATCACAGAGAGCAATATCAACAGTTGGCCAAACAATAAAGGGGCGACTTATGTATTGTTCATCAGACAAGCCATTTTGTGAATAAACAAAATGGCCTCTCCCATAGCACAGCCTGGTCTCAGAATTCTAAATACAGCTGCTAGCATCAAAAGATGGGCTATTTCTGGTCGAACTGCGCTGCACTCTTGCTCTACCCCCATGACTTCATTTTACCACAGATCAAATTTAACCCCACTAGAGGTTCTTCTGAACAAAGAAGGCATATCACTAAAGTGGTTTATTTGCTTCTGAAGAAACTGCTGCCAGGTATACATTGGCTAAAGAATTTTTGGCACCTGCCATACCTGGGTAATGAACTGTATTGCCTTTGAGCTTGCTGGAAACTCTCTCTTTCTTCTTGCCGTTGCTTCTGCATCTGAACTTCTACTGATACAGAATGTCTGCCGCTCTGTGAATAGGTCTTTGAATTTGGCTAGGAAATGAAAAACAAATATTGTTAATAGTATAATAATAAGGTCCTTTTTGTATAGGCACAATTAAGAAATATTTCTTTGATTATCTATAAAAGATTCAAATTTACATCCAGCTTAATAGATGACCTTGTCTCTTTTTCAAGGATACATTTAAATATATCCTTCTATAAATGAAATAGTAAAATGCTAAAATAATTACTGCTATCTGCATTTTTTTCCTGGTCTTCTCTGAAGTTTCTCTAAAGCAATAGAGAAGCTTCGGCCAACTGGGGAACACATTCAGCTTTATCAAACTGAACCCCTTGGGCATGCAAACTTTCACAATGATGTACATTCCTGATCCTCTTGCTGTTGGATTCTGCAGACGCGTCTGGTTGGAGATGAGGGGAAAAGCAAGAGAAAGTGTAAAAGATGAGGAAGAGGAAATGGACCCATTTCCTTGCAAAAAGAAAGAAATTAGGCTAGTTTATTTGTAGTTCTGAGATTTCCCAGAGTGCCAAGTTGGAAAAGGGTGATATATTTCAATGTTGCTCAGCATCAAGTTGGGAAAGGTTAATGATATTAAACCTCCCTCTCTGCCTCATCCAATAACCACTTAAAATAAGTCATTGTTTTCTTTGCTTATCCATATTTTGGTTCCGTTGATAATTATGACACTAGGGAAAAAAACTGAACAATTAAAATGAGACCATACAACAAAATGTTTCAAAGCCAGATACTGATCAGAACTATAAAACCTTAAGTTCAAATTTATGAAGTAGATTCACTTATTATAGATTAACATAACCTTAACTGTTGTTTTAAAAAATCTGAGAGACAGTCATGACAAAAAAGGTTCAGCACTGAAAATTTGTTTAAAAGATATTTTCCTCTTATTAAAATATGAATACCTGAATATTTTTGTTGGATTTGGCAATGTTTTCAGATGAATATAAGAATTTTATCTATGTTAGGAAGAGACTGATGTATAAATGTCTATAATAATGGAATTCCATTGACTCTGGACAGGGTAAGCCACCAACTTGGTTGCAATGGCTTAATGTCAATGCTGGTCAGTATCACTCAAAATAAATAGCTGGTACCTTTGACAGGGAACAACTTTGTGATCTGAGAACACACCCTAGCAGATTTGGGGTCTGGTCAATATTGAGATGATAGAACTGCTTTTATATTCCACAATGGGAGAAATACTGGATTTAAGCATATTAAAACAAACAATCAGCTCTGTTTAAACAGTTACTTTAGTGCATTAGAAGAAGCTTCACGACTCAGGGAGATTAAAATTGACATGCTTCCATTTTTAATCTTGATACTCTCTTACTGATTAGCATGTGTGGAGTCCTGAAGTCTAAGAACCATCAACCAGCTTCTCTCAAAGAATATTTCTTAAATCCTTGATCAATATTTTTTAAAAAATTCTGAATCATATTCATTCAGAATGTAACACAATTTTCCCCAAACTAATTTCTGGTTCTTCTATTATACCCATTTGCTGCTGCATAACGTGCAACTATCACCAACCTATAGAATCATACTTCCATACATACTGTACTCACAATAATCTAGATGATACCCATTCATACTTTCATTCAAAATAAAGCCTACATGTTTACTTCCCTACATTCATCAACTACCCCACAAGATTAGACCATCTTCTTTTACATCTATTACCTTCCCCTTTCTCTAAGCTTCATGGACACACAATGTATCTATTTTCCTTTCTTTCAGATTATTTGTTAATTCATATTCTTTACTACTTTCACATTCCAAATCACAATCTTCAAATATTTTTGTCACCAAATGGATCCCAGATATTGATCTCCACTGCCTATCATAACTTTGACCAAATTTTAGTAATATAAAAAAAGGTATTAGGCTAAGTCACTAGCCTTACTTGAATCTGAGTCACAGCCAAGATTTCCTGCTAATAGTAAGAGAGTACCAATCTATTTTGGCACATTTTGGTCAGTATACCATAAAAGTGCAACCAAAGCCCAGTCTTATCCCAAGCATGTTCAGGTTTTTCTATCCAACCTAGGATCTCTAATCTAGACACTACCATGCAAACTAATATGCTTACCAGCATTCTATCAACTCTGATGTAAATGCAGGCGTACTTGCATACACTCAGGATATGTTTATTCTACTTTATCATGCTCTACTTTATCATGCAATTTATCCTTTTTTCCTATAATTGTTGCTGATTTTTTTTTTGCATTTTTAAGCTTCTACATTTATTTTTCATGTTTGTTTATTCATAAGTTTATTCAAGTTTTACCATGGCTTTCAAGGAAGATCGAGGAGGAGGAGGAAGCAGAAGCAGCAGTTACCACCATAAAACCAGGTGAAGATGAAAAATGTGGATTAAATGATTACATCAAGGCAAGCAGAGAGAAAATGCTCATCACAGTTTGCAATCAATCAATTAATCACTCACTCAATCAATCAATCCTGAAAGTTAAGGAAACAAAGAATATAAAAGTGAATTATTGGAAAACTGTTTAGAAAATTACATGTCCAATATTTAAAAGAAACTGAAAATAAAGTGGACAAGATCAGGAATTAGCAATGGTTACAAGCTGGCACCATCAAGAAGGACAGTGCAGGATTAATTTTTGCAGCTCAAGAACAAGTTCTACGAACAAATATGATGGAATCAGGGATTCAACATGTATCAAACAGTCAATGCAGATTTTGTAAAGAAAAAGATAAAATCATGAATCACATAATTAGTGGATGCAGAAAAATTGCTCAGACTGATTATAAACAATGTCATGGCAAAGTAGCCACTATGATCCATTGGCATTGGTGAAAAATATAGAATTACTGAGTTTCCTAAATATAATATAATATCAGAATTTTAAAAGTTGTTGAAAATTATGATTGTAAAATTTTATGGGAATTTTGCATACAAATTAATCACCATCTAGAACACAACACACCAGCTGGAACAATAATTGAAAACAAAAATGTAATTTTTGTAGATGTGACAATACCCAGGAACAGTAGAATCTAGGGAAAAGAATTGGAGATATACGTACATATACACACAACACACACACACAACACACACACACAAAGGGAGGGAGGGAGAGAGGGAGAGATTTAATGACTATAATGGGTAGATTATGGAGAAGAACTTGCAAAGTTATCCCCTATGGTTATCAGCACATTAGGTGAAATAACCATTTAAAAAAAAAAAATTACAAGAACTAAATATTTTGGCTATATCAACTGTGAATTTACCAAAAAAAAACAAACAAACACTTTGTTGGGCACATGTTGTATCTTACATTGTTACTTGCATAATTCTTAAGTTCCTGGCTGGAACTTGAATTTCCACAGAACATTAATCAAAGGTGTGATTCTTTTTGTTTGTTGTTTGTATTGTGTTATTCCTTGATGAAGAAATAAAAATAAGATCATGAACAACAATTTGTAAGCAACCTTGACAGGGCTTTTATGGTACAAAGTAGCAAATAAGAAAGTAAATTCTAGGCAAGAAAAATAACATGAAGATCACAATCTTATCTGCATTTAACTCCCAATGGGTTTGAAAATTGGTTTCTTAGCTGACATGGAAATCTTCATACAAAACGAACAAATATACCCAAACCTGTGATTTTGTAAATGCATTTTCAATACATTTTAGGAAAACTATTCATATTTATTTCATATCATATCTACACACAATGTTTAAGCCTGGCAGCAATATTGATCACGAATCAGCAATATCAAAATTAGCCTTTTCATTAGATAGGAAAATACAGTTCCATGTACAAACTGTGTGCTCAGAATATAACTCCCAAACAACTTAACACCTGTACAAATGGCAGTACAAGGAGAAGTATAATTATCATAATTCTTTAAAGCTATCAAACAAAGCTGGCTCTGTCTTAACCATGTAAATTGCAGAGGACTTCGCCCTTGTCTGTGTGGAGATGTATGATAACTGCTGACCTTTTAAATCAAATGATAGTCAAAGCTGTTATAAATATGTATTATCCAAATACATATAAGTTTATATCTTTCATAATGAAACTTAAGTGAATCTACCATTTGAACATTTCTTGATGAAAACACAACAGAAAATGCTTGGTAGGAATGCTGATACCCCAAACTTTTAATTTGTGAATAATTTAAGGGATTTGTTTTTAAGATCTCACCGTTAGGCTAATATTTTCTGCAATATCTGAGAATTACAAGAAAATATAATCAGTACTTGCATTATGCAGGCTGCATCTAAGTTTAAAATGGCAAAAGCATTCAAAATTTTCAGAAGGATATTGTTGAAATAGAGATATACCCCTTTATTATATCAGAAGAAATATCAAGGAACTGTGTCCAATCTGTGTATTTATTAGAGATAGACAATGCTGTCAATGGAATCCAGATTGTATTTTATGAAAAGGTCTGCAGTCTATGAAAGCTGATGTCACAGTGGCTCTATTAGTCTTTAAGGTGCCACCCATGCATATGGAGAAATTCTATCAGTGACAAAAAGGCATTAACAAAATTAGGATTTCTTACGAGCACAGGAATCAATTTTTGGAACAGATAGTTTCTCTAAAATATATCTTTGGCAGTGTTATCACTGAAATAGTACATTTTGTTTTGTTTTATTGATGAGTTATCAACCGTAATAATTATGTATCATAGAATATTCCATATAATTTGGAACACAATCTTGCTGGCCCTCAGGATACTCTATGGCAAGAAGACTCCCAACAGTGGCTGTTGTTGTACAGTGGCTAGCAACAAAAAGGAGGGCTTGTTGTGCTTTCAGAAAGCTTTATAGGTCACTGAATAGCACTAGTCCAAATGGAATATACTCAGATAAACCCTTTGACATGGCTGACTTCTTGTAGTTCTTCAGCAGGACCAACAGAGTGTGCATTCAAGAGTGTGGACATTCTACATTCACATATGGCTAGTTGATAGAAGCATCAGAACAGGTTCCTCACCTCAGCTTTAGTGGAAACAGGGTCAACTTTTCCCA